ACATACCCCCCACCCCCACCCCCACCCCACACACACGCACACCTTTTTTTACCTTCTCCACGCTGCCTGCGTGTGTGTGTGTGTATGGTGGGGGGTGGTTCTTCCTGCGTCTTGTTCTTAACTCCATCTTCCGTGTCTCTGGCGCTCATGCGTTTTACTTTTTGAGCCTTTTTTCTTCCCTGTGTTATTTTGCCCGCCGTCGCACCCAGTCTGTGAATCGCGAGGGTTGCGAAAGCGAAGGGTAACAGTTTGCCACAGCTCCACTGGATTGTTGTAGGATAGTTTTAAAAAGGAAACAAAACAAAAAAAAAATAGGGCCGTGGGATCAGGTGTCTGTGGGCCTCGTATATAAGAGCCACAGCACAAAGGAGGAACGCTGTTTTGTGAGTATATATAACATATTCCTTATCGGTATTATTATTATTATTATTATCGGAAAGGGTTTTTTTTGCTGCGTATAGATGGATACGGCAACCGCGTCGGGGCCGGGAGCTATCAGCTGCATAACGGCCGCCGAGCGGCAGCTGCGCAGCGATTCCCCGATGTTGGTCGATGGCAACCGTGCTACGGGCGGACGCTTCGTTGCCCTAACGAAGGCGGCGCTGGCGCTCGACGTCGGCGACAGCAGTTACCCGTGGCCGCGCCGCTACGCCATCACGTTTTCGCCGTGTCTACGCAAGTTCTCGTGGGACCCGTACTCCCCGGTCTACAAGAGCAGCGACGTGGAGAGGACGCGGAACTCGTACCTGCGCACCACCATCCCCTTTGCCTCCCTCACACGGGAGAAGCAGTTGCAGCGGATGGAGATGTGGGAGGAAAACCTGCGCCGGCACGTGCACGACGGCTTAAACCCTCTTGAAGAAGCTCCAGTGCCACAAACTCCAAAAAAGCGGTCGAAGCAGAATAAAAAGCGGCAGCTGAAAAAACAACGAGAGATCCGTCTTAAGGCTGAACGAGAGCAGCTGTATCAACCACTGCAGCAGCCGCCGCCGCAGTATCTACAACAAACACCGATGCCGGGTGTGCGCCCCTGCTGGCGAGATAAACATGCGTCAAAGTTTCAACGCTCTCACCCTCCGCCTGCATATCAGCACGGCGGTCACAATTTCTTACCGGCCTTTGGTGCTGCGGGCGGGTTTCATCCCGCAGTATGAAAGACCGTCTCATGGGATTTATGAAATTCTGTGGCTTATGTATGTTGTTATTGCTTTACCTATTTCTTTCATTTTTCATTGGGCTGTGTCTTGGAGAACCACCCACATTGGCGTGGAACCTTCCGGCTGCCCCTCATTTTGGCCCACTGCTGCTCGTATGTCTATACAAGAGATGGGGCGTGCGTTAGATTTGTGAAAGTGCGTGAAGTAGTGTTTATCACTATCACCTTTTATAACAGTTATTAGTATTATTATTATTATTATTATTATTAGTTTTGAGATTAAAACGAAACAAAAAGCAAGAGAGAAAGAGGGAAGTGTGCAAGAGCCCTTTTATTCGTCCCTTTGACTGTTTGTGTCTGACGCCTCCTTTTATGCTCTCAGTTTGGGGGGGAAAGAGTCACATCCTTCTCATTTCTGCAGTATGTATGTTGTGGCATGTGTCGTAATTGTTGTGTGGGATGTTCTGGCTTTCCTAAGCAACAACCAACGCAGGTGCCTCAGCCCCTTCCCTCTTCTCTCCTTTCCCATTCTATTTATTCCTCTTTTTTTTCCTCATTTCCTCCTTTCTCATTCTCTATCTTCATCTTTTTTTCTTTTTCTTTTTTACTTTATTCCTTCCTTCCTCTCTCTATGTATTTATGCGGGTGGGCGTCTTTGGGTCTTTTGGGGAGTCACTTTGTGCTGCGGCTGCGGACGGAGAGAGAACTGTGCGTGCCTCTCCCTGTCTCCTGCGTGGCACCGACTTCAAACTTTGCTTTCTCCCCTTTTCTCTTTTTTCCGCTCCCTTTTTTTATGTATGTGATCCTTTCTCACGCGTGCGTGGTGTATTCCCCGCAGCCGCCGCGCAGCAGTGCAGCTTATTGTCCGTTTCGAACGATCAGAGAAGCAACTAACGACGAATACACCCGTAGCCCCGCGAGGAATCAGCAGAAAGAGAGGTGAGGCACGCGAGGAGGAGGAAATAGGAGCAAACAGGAAGACTTTTGCTTTCTTTTTTCTTTCTCTTTTTGCGACTTGTTGTTGCTCTTGCATTTTCTCTGCCTCATCGGCGTGGAAGGATGGTTCGTCTCCCGGCGCCGCGGAGGGCGCGCACCTTCTCCCCGTCGGCTACTTTTGTAGGCCACAGCCCGTCTCCACCGCAGCTGTGCTCGGAGCTGCGGTCGCCACACGCGGAGAGCAGCCCAAGCCTTGGCATGGAACGTGGGGGAAACTGCAGCATTGTCTCTCCCGGGTCCAATGTGACGTACTTTGCAACGAACAGGTACTCGTGGAACCCGTACCCTAGGCTTGAAGTGGAAAGTGATGTGTGGAAAGCGGGGGAGAACCCAGAAGAGGGCAACGCGGCCCCTGTTGCTTGGTCGTGTCCAATCACAATGACGCCGCAGATGCGAAACTGCGCGGCTCAGTGGAGCAACGCGTCTTTGTCACCGGGGGCATCGTCCATACAAAGTTTCGCTGGCGGGGCACCAGCAACGATGTCCTACCTTGAACCTTCGTCAAAAGTTTTGGGCAGTGGGAACGGGAGTGGATACGCGTCGATGGTTAAGTCTCAATGCATCGACGGTAACGCCATCGCGGAGCCCATGTGTATGTTCGAAAGGGATCTCATGCCGCAGAGCTCTTTGTCGTATAGCGCCATGTGCCCCGCTGGGAAGGAGGGGGCCTTCGATGACATGGGTGTGGGGAATAATCCCATCTTTGACGGGATCGGGAGGACGAGTGCGGAGCCGCTGCAGGGGCAGCGATACTCCGCGTCTATGCCTCTTCACCACAGCCAACAGAACGTGTCCTGTTATAATGGCTTCATGTACCCAAGCTCCCTGCAGCCAACACCAGGGTCATGCGTCAATGCCAAGATGCCACGGCTGCGGTTCTCAAAGATGCCTCCGCCCCCGGTGCCGTGTAAGGAGCTGAGTCGACTGGAACAGAGCAATCCCCAGGACGCTCATTATATTCTGAACAGCTTGATGCGTCAATGGCACAAGCAACTCATGTTACATCAAGGCGGGGAGTTTACCTACTGCCTTTACAGCAACTTCAACCTGTATGGTAGTAACAGAAACACTCGCGCAGAGTTGGACGAGCCGTGCCCGTCGCCGCCAGATGAAGGGCAGTGCAAGATTGATGATATAAAGTGGCTGCAACAATGCAATGAGTGGTGGAATAAACTGCTTCCTGAGAAATCGCGGCATGGGAACAGTCGGCGCAACGGAGCTGTGCGTGGGAGGTGGAGGCCCCACCACAGCTCCGACGAATAACACGATCCTTGCCAACAACAGTGTCAACGGCCAACCGCAAGAACAGTCGCATCCTTCCTCCCATCACAGAGGGAAGCACTTCGATAGATGATGGGATGCGCTTCATGTCACAAGAATACCACGTGAGATTAGGACTTCTTTGTGGTGGCGTCCGTGTGCACGTGTCTGCGTGGCGGATGTGTTGTTTGTTTATTGTTGCTTTGAACTTCTGCATCCACACTCAGTACTTGCGCCCGGTTGCTGCGCGGCTATCAAAGGAAAGAAATGGTGTGTTCTTTTTAGTTTAGTTCTGTGTTTTATTTCCTCCGTGTGAAGTTATATTATTTAGGTGCATATTGCCAACTGGCCCCTTTCTGTTTTCCTTTCTATCTATCTATCTCTCTCTCTCTCTGTGTGTGTGGTGAGGAGAGAAAGTGGGGGGAAGTGAACGGGGGTGTTTGTCATCTGCCTTAAATTGTGTCTTGGCTTTGCTTCCGTCCTGCCGCACCGATGCACCGGGATGGGGCGGGTAACGCACGGGGTGGAAAAAAAGTTTAGCTCCCTTGTTACTTTTGCTTGGGTTTCAATTTTGAATCCTCTCTCTCTCTTCTTTTTTTTTTTTCGTTTTGCGGAGGCGCATCTGCATTACTCAACCACGCATATATATATATATATATATATATATATATATACGTCTTATATTTTTACAGATTGAACGATAGTACGATTGGTCTTTTTCTTTCTTTTTTCCTTCCCCTTTTGTTTGCTAAACGAGGGAGCGGGAGAGGCTGTGGTGTGCAGTGGCGAGAGAAAACGAAAAACAAAAAGGGGAATATAATATATATATATATATATTCAACTGGGACAGTCTACGAGCACGCTTCAGTATTCTGCTCTATTGCTTGTCTGCTGCCTTTCATTCACTTTGTTTATATATATTTGTCTCGCTGTTTCGCCTTTTTCTTTTTCTTTTTTTTGTTCGTTGTTGTTTTGTGTGTATGTGTGTGTGTGTTTTTTTTTTTGAGAGGAATGAGGAAAAGAGGAATAAATTCCTCGTCTATCCCTCTCCATCTTTCGTTTTCTCCCACTCTCGCTTGTTTCTACCTTTGTTGATGTTTTGCTGCGGGATGAGTGGCGTGGTTAGGGCGTGCGAGCGCGAAAGACCTTGCACATCCTGCGGGCGTGCATGTGTGTGGCGAAGATCCCGCGCGTCCGCAATGAACTCGCTACCTGCTTTCCTCCGCCCTCATTTGCGGTTTGCCAAAAGTGGGGTGTGGTACCCGAAGGGGCGCAGTGGGCGGTGGCGCGTATTGTTGGGTTTATTTCCCCTTTTTTTTTTTTTTTTGTCTCCTTTACTGTGGACTACACGACGTTGGTTTCCCAAACGATGCTGCAGTGGAGAAGGCGACGAGGGCAGCTCTACCAACCATCACAGTCACTAAAGTCTTCTGGTTGACATTGTTTGTGTGTGTTGCGTGGGCCGCCTTTTCTGTCAGGGATGTTTGGGCGCCCGCAGGGCCCGACCTATGATATCCTTCCAGATGGTTGCCTTCTCTCGCTTTGTGGGAGCGGGAGGGACCTGCCCCATGCGATTCCGGAGGCAAGCCTTTTGATCTCCTCTCTGCTCCCCTTTACTTCTGCCGTAGTTGTTTACTGTTTCTTGCGCGCGTCTGTTCTCTGATTCGTATGGGTGATCGTTTGTTTATTTCGCTTCATTCGTGAATGCCTCGCTGCGCCACCGTTGCTTCACTCATTTTTTTTTGTTGTTTTGTTTTGCTTTTTGTGGCTTCTTGCCCTCGCCTTGCTTCTCACAACAATTCCCACCCCCGCCTCTGCACGCACGAAGACCAAAAAGGAAAAAATATATGATTTTGCTTATTTTTTTTTTGAAAAAGGAAGAAATGGTGCACAAACTGCATTTTGAGTAAGTCGCTGGAAAAATAGCTTATATGGCGTTTCTTTGCATGTTTTTGCTGGGGGTTGTGTGTGTGCGTATGTTGAGCTGGACGCGTCGCCTCAGCTGTGTACCATCCATATTTTTGGGTGGGTGGAGAAGCTACATGCACCAATATCCTTACACACATGCCTATATATGCAACGACCACTAAGAACAAGGGAAGGGTTGCGTGTCTTGTGTGGTGAGGGGGGAGGGTTTAGATAACTCTAGTAAAAATTGTTATTGTTTTGTTTTGTTTTCCAGCTTCTATATTATTTGTTTTCCTGTAAAATGCGGTGCAGTGGTTTGCCTCAGGCCCCCATACCTCATCCCCGCTCTCCCTCAGACAGGCTGACTGGACTTTGTTTCCTGCGGCTTACGCGTTGCCTTCCCCATCACTTGTAGTTGCATCTAAATCCATCTATAGCCCATTTGCACTGTAGCAATAGGCCCCACAAGGAGGGCACAGGAGCGAGACAGGTGTCGAGGTCGAGGGGGCGCCTGCGTGTAGTGAAACTTCAGCTGCGGTGTCACAGGGAACACGGCATGGACCACTCGAACCGGTGTTGCACACAGTGACACACTTGCCACCAAGCGGGGAACTGGAAACGAAGGCAGGCAGAAACGGAGAAGCAAATACAGTTGGAAGCGAAGAGGTCTTGAGGACAAATTCCCTCCCCCCCCCCGTCGAGGTAATTCTTTTTGCGCACTCACTGCCGTCCCCCCTCACACATGCATACACGCACACGTGCGCTGCCAGTGCGCTTGCTTACGTAACTGCCGGTTTCTGCTGAGTTGTTGTGCATTGTGAGTGTTGCTGTTGTTATTTTCTTTTTGCTTGCTGATGGACAGCTTCGACGCGAGTGTGTATTTAATTGAGCCCCGTGTGTGCGTTGTCGGGGTGTTGGGTTCTCAAGCACGTGCGCCAGGGTACGGTGGGCGAGACGTAAAAAAAAAAAAAAAAACGTTTACTGCACGGCTAGCAAAGAGGAGAGGCGGCCAATCAAGCAAGGGCACGGACGCATGTGTAGCAGAAAGGCTGTAACGAGGCGAGCAAAGGAGAGGGGAGGACACT